GTTTTTTGAAAACTGACGAGCCATACAAAAAAAAATTAAGGTTCATACAAAAAATGTGACAAAGGGGGGAGGGGGGGGGGGGTTGAAAATGGGCCAAATTTGCGTGACATAATTAATGGACCATCCCATATAGTTACGGATAATCTAGCTTATTAGAGGCTGAAATGGTCTGTTCTCATAATGAGCTTGATGTTGAAACATTATTCCCAATTGCGGGAGCCCCGAGTCCGTGTCCCGAAAAAATTTCTGTGGTATCCAACGATTGCTGGAGGGTGATCTCTCCTTCAGAAAAATGTAACAAAAACAAAAAGAGCATCACACGAATGTAAACATTCTTGGCTCTAGGCAGTGCTGCCAAAAATGATTGAAACCATTGTTCTCATGGTGATTGAAGGGTGTTAGAGTGTGTCGAAGTGTACTTTTTAATGTGTTCAACACAAGATGGCAGAGGGGCTTATAGTACGTTCAGACTACAGAGTTATAACATGTTATAGCGCTATCTTGATGGTGGTTTCTGTGTTGCAATTAGTTGACAACCGTTATAACATGTTATAACTCTCCAGTCTGGACAGCGTTTTAAACGCTGTACAGACTGGAGAGTTATAACATGTTATAACGGTTGTCAAATAATTGCAACACAGAAACCACCATCAAGATAGCGCTATAACATGTTATAACTCTGTAGTCTGAAGCGCTGTCCAAACTGGAGAGTTATAACATATTATAACGGTTGTCAACTAATAGCAACACAGAAACGATCATCAAGATAGCGCTATAACATGTTATAATTCTGTAGTCTGAACGTAGTCTGAACGTACTATTACCATAGAGGTAACTCTAAGACCACTGGGTCCCGAAGAAAATCATTATTATTTTTGGCTCACTCAGTACCAGAACAACGGTCCCAAGCAGTCCCAAGCTATTTCACTCACCCCTGCATGTTCTGCATGAATCCACACACCCCTGATGTTATCTGTCAAACTTTCATAGCGAATCAAAACAAACATAGTGTAGTAATAGAATTTCAACTAGAATAGGGTACGTTAATCGTTTGCTTGGGACCAATAGGCTACTAAAGTGGTGAGCCAATTTGAAATCGTTAGTTTCGTATTGATTGTTGCTATTACCCCCTGGTGCAGGCTTATGCCTTGTTCAGACTGGAGAGTTATAACAACCGGTGAACACTCGTGTTTATTTCAGTTACCGTGGGGACGTAATTTGTGATTAGCCCCGGTCCCTTTCAAATTGTATCATTATTTATGTACGGTCCTTATATTTGAAATGACGTTTCACATTCATCTAGTGATGGCCGATTTTCATTCAAATAATCGAATAATCGATTAACGAACCGAAAAGTCAAATATTTGTAATCGGTTACATCATGCCGATATAAGCATTAACATCTCCAGAGGATCATCACCGATCGTTTCAAACATGTGCTGCGCTCTCATTGGTGGAAAAATGGCAGCACAGCGAACAAAAAATAATCGATTAGTTGTTAATCGAGTAATTAAAAAAGGGACATCGCTGATTTTGGTGTGATTGTTTTGATAAAAATGAGCGCAAAATTTCATCTCTTCCGAGGGGGCAGCAAAACCACAAAATTACCTGGAATACGGGGGGTATTAATTGGATGAAAGGGACCGTGAAAGAGGACACTAAAATAGAAAGTTTTTCTTCCGACAGTTTCATCTTAAACGCTGTACAGACTGGAGAGTTATAACATGTTATAACGGTTGTCAAATAATTGTAACACAGAAACCACCATCAAGATAGCGCTATAACATGTTATAACTCTGTAGTCTGAACGTACTATTAGTATTCATCTTTGGTTATAACATGTTATAACGGTTGTCAAATAATTGTAACACAGAAACCACCATCAAGATAGCGCTATAACATGTTATAACTCTGTAGTCTCAAGCGCTGTCAAGACTGGAGAGCTATAACATGTTATAACGGTTGTCAAATAATTGCAACACAGAAACCACCATCAAAATAGCGCTATAACATGTTATAACTCTGTAGTCTGAACGTACTATTAGCTCAATTAACAATTGTTCAAGGAACACTAATAGCGAATTTGTTTATTATCCAGGTTGGAACCAGTTCCAACTCGTGCGAACCCGAGTTTATTGTCAATGCGAACCTCAACCCGAGCCAGGTTACAAAAACAAACGTTCTCATTAGAAATACTCACCGGGCGGAGAGAATGTTTTGAGCCAAATGAACTGTCAAAATCTGAGCCAATCGAACATTCCCATTAGAATTTTTCGTATTCTTACTAGAATAAATTTGAGAGTATTGCAATCGAACAGAAATTCAATCACCTTTATGTTTTGTGTGCTTCTCAAATTCAACTAATCAAAAACAATATTCTAACTCTATTGATTAATTGATCTTCGCCGGTTTATGAATGGCACCAAGAAATGTGCAAAATATTGCGATGTAAGCAATTATTATTTTGCACCTAAATCGAATCAAAAATACAAGTCATTTGAAATGCTAGCTTCTAGCAAGGGTTGCAAGATAATTTAGAAACAAATCCGTGCTGCCGAACTGTATTTTGTTTTCTCCGCCAGTCTCTCCCTCTGAGTATTTCTAGTTCTCATTATAACGTTTGACAGATAACAAGCAGACCCAATCTTGATACCCGATCCAGTTTGGAACTGAATAAAAAACAAATTCGCTATAAGTTGAGGGCTTAATTTATGTGTTTTTAAAACGGATAGATCTGAGGATTTAGTAGTTAGTGTCATCTTGCGTTCTCCCAAGTTGTTAGCTGCGCATCGGTGTACCCCCTTGTTTGTCTTTTTCATCAGAGTGTCGCTTAGTTCGAGATCAAGAGCACATTGCCCTCCAAACCTTGTGTTCACAATCCCTACCCTGCCATCTATTTGTTACAATTTGTTACCCCCCGCATAAACGCGAACCATATCTTGACCTTACCGAAAATGGTTACAAATTGTTTATAATCCCTGCTAAACTTTAACTGAAATGGTTATGGAACTTTACATGAACGTTTGTGTGATAAAGTTTTAACCTTATGTATTATGGTTTTTTGGAAGTGAACCTTACAAATAATGGGTTGTTAAGAACCATTACCATTCTAAATTCTTGTTTTCTCCATACATTTTCTGAAAGAAAACTATATTAGAACCTTTTTACTTATGGTTTGAGAATTTTAATGGTAATGGTTATGATAGTCAGTAAGGTCCATGGATGGTTTTGTATTGTCGGTCAACTTTACGTGGAATATATCGCGAATAGGTTGCCTGTAAATTAATGATTACCAATTCGCGATATATTCCACGTAAAGTTGACCGACAATACAAAACCATCCATGGACCTTACTGACTACCATAACCATTACCATTAAAATTCTCAAACCATAAGTAAAAAGGTTCTAATATAGTTTTCTTTCAGAAAATGTATGGAGAAAACAAGAATTTAGAATGGTAATGGTTCTTAACAACCCATTATTTGTAAGGTTCACTTCCAAAAAACCATAATACATAAGGTTAAAACTTTATCACACAAACGCTCATGTAAAGTTCCATAACCATTTCAGTTAAAGTTTAGCAGGGATTATAAACAATTTGTAACCATTTTCGGTAAGGTCAACGTATGGTTCGCGTTTATGCGGGCCCTAACCTCGAGATAGCCGCGAGTAATCGGCCCCCGCTTTACTAACGTTAGTGTTAAGTAATTTTGTAATCTAATCAATGAATATTGGGTCCGCAAAGCTACAGCAAATGAGCCTGGAAAAATAAACGCATTATAAAAAAAAAGTTGAGGGCCGGCGCAAAGTACCAGTATGGAAGTAATAAAGCTAAAGAAGAAGAATAAGACAAACAAAAATTCTGCTTTATGGTATATCTATCATTTTCTACCAAATTGTTGCTGTGATTCTGATTTATTACCACCGCTGTTTTCATTTCCAAGAATGTACACGGCGAATGAGAACGACTCAAATTTGAGTTTAGTTCACTCATAATCGCCAAAAGTGCAGGAACTCAGCGATGAGTTAATTTGCCTCATGTTTTCCCAGGTTTTGCCAGGGAAAAATTCTCGAATTTGAGAAAAGTAAAGATTGGATTCACTCAGTCTATTGGTACTACTCCGAGACTGAATAAATTTTTTGTCAATTTCCTCATTTTCCGGCAGATTTTTTAGGTTTTCCACAGGAAACCATGAGACAAATTTTACTCATCGCTGAGTTCCTGCACTTTTGGCGATTATGAGTGAACTAAACTCAAATTTGGGTCGTTCTCATTCGCCGTGTAGGAACCTGAGTCATTAGAACATCGATCCTACTAGCACGGCCACCAGAAATTCAGCGGTAACTGCATCCAAAACATAATATAAAAATGGCAAAGGGTCAGATTAGTGCACTTACCGTCCTATTATAGCAATCTTCAAATCGTATTATCCAACAGTGTATCGATTTAAGGTTTCCACGCTAATTCGTTTCCTTCTGCTATACGTATGTTTACACCTGAAGAAAGGTTTCCAAGGTTGGAGCGTTTGAGAGGCTCGAGGAAAAAGGGGAAATTCAAATGAAAAACCTGCCATAAATAGCTATTAGAAGATCTAGGAACGCAGACTTCAAACATTTAGTTTAAAACTGGTGATGCAATAACCGTCGGTTGGTCGGCTACTTGCTTTGAGTGATGTTCTTCTGTTCATTCTTTGTGACTCCGGGTCAACATAAGTAAACAACTTTTCGCCCATTAATGCTTCCGTTACGTAGGTTCAAAGAATAGTATGAAATACGTGTGCCAAGCAGCATACCAATGAACGGTCACAGGATCGTAAGCAACAGCAGTGGGCGTATAAACCACCTGATTGCACACGAGGTGCGGACAACAGTTACCCATACTGTTCGGTCAGTCGCGTCATAATGTTTCGCGAACTGTTCAAGGCACTTCTACGGTTTCCTGCGGGAGTTTACCTGCAAGGACGAGCTTCCCTGTTGCGTTCAGTAGTAGTACGGTTGTCGAAGGGGCGCAAACCAAAATCGAGAGCCTACAGGAGAAATGCAGTATAGTCAGTTGTTAAAGTTTGCGCAATTAGTCATTAGTGGTGGTGGAAAATTGCAAATTTAGGGATTAAAATCCCGAAAAATAAGAAGATTTCGCATTGATTGTGAAAGCGAGTGCTGCAATGAGAAGAGGCGGTGAAGTGTTGCAGATTTTTTCGAAGTTAAATCTATTGTTTATTGTTCTGATTTGGGCTGTTCCGAGAGTGCAAGGATTGCCGAAAGTTTTTCGGACCAACGAAATATGTGGAGTTTATAACGGACACCGCGTCTATCTGGAGCTCGGAGATCGGGGGCAACTGCAGGCTACCAATGTGACCGTTGCCAAAGTAAGACGTTTTAGGATTATCAACAATTGGCTTTCTCAGTTTGGTGGGAATTGAAACGGTTAATTTCTCATCGGGCAATGATAAATTATCAATACTAGTAGACGATAGGATGACCTATGAGTAATGTAACAACAACGTCAAGCAAACGGAAGGACATTAATTGGATTTAAGTGGGCAAACCAAGAAGTAGTGAACTGTATAGCTATCACACTGACTTTGCGTTTTTTTTTCGGTAGGAGCGAATGGTGGGAATCGATACTTGAACTGTGTGCCGTGTTTAGCTTGTTAAAACTCTTTGTCGAGAAGTTCCACACCCCATTCAACGATAAATAGTCACTGGTATCTGAGTGAAGCGGTGTGTTTATAACGGAAATTTCTTTCAAAGTAGGCTGCTCAAAACTAGCACACAAAGCAATATCTTCATTATGAATGAACTGAGTGAAGCGTTGGAACCGTGCTATTCAGTTCACACAAACTTTTAAATCGCCTGTTACACAAATTATATTCGCCAGTACACATAACTGAAGTTTGGCAGTGTAAGAATTATGTGGTGTTTACATATATGCTGGTTCAGCACTTGCATCTAGCTCGAATTTCAGTTGCTCTCACGGCGAATGAGAACGACTCAAATTTGAGTTTAGTTCACTCATAATCGCCAAAAGTACAGGAACTCAGCGATGAGTAAAATTTGTCTCATGGTTTCCTGTGGAAAACCTAAAAAATCTGCCGGAAAATGAGGAAATTGACGAAAATTTTATTCAGTCTCGGAGTAGTACCAATAGACTGAGTGAATCCAATCTTTACTTTTCTCAAATTCGGGAATTTTTCCATGGAAAATCCTGGAAAAACCTGGGAAAACATGAGGCAAATTAACTCATCGCTGAGTTCCTGCACTTTTAGCGATTATGAGTGAACTAAACTCAAATTTGAGTCGTTCTCATTCGCCGTGCTGAAATCCCATGCTGGTAGATGCTGACGCTCTGTTTGACTTAAGCTCACTACTTTTTAGTACAGTTTTAGTTCACTAGCACCACCACACCAGCACTGATGTAAAGACCCCAGTTGGTTGAGCTGGTTCGCAAGGGCGTAGCAAGGTTTCGAGCTAGGGAGGGGCAAAAAAAAAATTACCATGGAAAATTTGGCCGAATGCCATTTCACCGAACGCCATTTCCTCGAAAGCCTTTGTGTTGCCGAGTTTAGGGGGGGGGGGGGGCAGTCGCCCCCCCTGCCCCTATCTGGCTACGCCTATGGCTGGTTGTGCTAGTTGGCAGTGCTGAACCAGCATAATGTAAACACCACTTTCATGCAGCTGCAGCTCTGTCAGTAGGTCTGTACCCATATTTGCAAATTACACAAAATTATTTTCTTACATCAACTTAAGCTGGGTTTAGACAGGGCAACACCGACAAACCGACATGAATGATCGTACAAATTACAAAGGAATTTCTGCTCAAAGCACAAAACTGACATCTGCCGCCGTGTTCGCGGAAAATGTTTATCCTAGCCACGAATATGCGTACAAAATTTATGAGTTGGTTCGTGTCTAATCTATTTCGGACAATTTATTTTTATCCAGATAAAACATTTCTATGGTTTTGACAGATGGGATCGATGCACATTTGAATCGGCCGTTATGGATTCTCGATCAAGAGTTAAGTTTAAGTTTCATGTCGGTTTTTCGGTGAGGGCAAGTCAATTGATCAAGTCAGTTGAATTCAACTGACTTGAACGCGAATTGAACGTTTAAACCATGCCTTGCAACTGACTTGATCAACTCACTTGAATTGAAAAAAAGTTGAACCAGGCTCAACTTTTCAAGCCAATTGAATTCAACTAAGTTGATCATTTGACTTGCCTAGTCTAAACCCAGCTTTACCAAAAGCTGCAGCAACTTATAGCAAAAACAAAAAAGCAAGTGCGGGAAAAGACTTAGTATTTAAAGGGGACGACGGGGTGAGACGGCCACCGTAAGCTTAAAGTGAAATTTATCCAAAACTATATAAAATTTCCGCGATAAATTAAGTGAATATTAATATTTAGAATGCTTCCCCTAATTTTCATTTGATAATGTTTTATCCACGGGGCAACAATCACATCAATATGATGAATATAGTGGGTGAGGATGACTGCAACAGACTACTCTTTCTAGCATTCAGCACTGCGATGCAAGCAAAGAAGAATACTAAGATGAAACAGTTGGATGAAAAACTTTCTATTTTAGTGTCCTCTTTCACGGTCCCTTTCAACCAATGAATACCCCCCGTATGCAAGGTAATTTTGTGGTTTTGCTGCCCCCTTGATAGAGATGAAATTTTGCGTTCTTTTTTTTTTGTTATCAAAACAATTACATCAAAATCAGAGAAGTCTCATTTTTTAATTACTCGATTAACAACTAATCGATTATTTTTTGTTCACTGTGCTGTTATTTTTCCACCAATGAGAGTGCAGCACATGTTTGAAACGATGGGTGATGATCCTCTGGAAGATTTAATACTCATATCGGCATGATATAACCATAGAGGTAACTCTAAGACCACTGGGTCCCGAAGAAAATCATTATTATTTTTTAATCACTCAGTACCAGAACAACGGTCCCAAGCAGTCCCAAGCTATTTCACTCACCCCTGCATGTTCTGCATGAATCCACATACCCCTGATGTTATCTGTCAAACTTTCATAGCGAATCAAAACAAACATAGTGTAGTAATAGAATTTTAACTAGAATAGGGTACGTTAATCGTTTGCTTGGGACCAATAGGCTACTAAAGTGGTGAGCCAATTTAAAATCGTTAGTTTCGTATTGATTGTTGATATAACCGTTTACAAATATTTTAGTTTTCGATTCGTTAATCGATTAATCGATTATTCGAATGAAAATCGGCCATCACTAGATGAATGTGGAACGTCATTTCAAATATAAGGATCATACATAAATAATGATACAATTTGAAAGGGACCGGGGCTAATCACACATTACGTCCTCACGGTAACTGAAATAAACACGAGTGCTGACCGGTTGATGCAAGTGTGAAAGAGTAAGCTTTATTGTTCTGTTGTACCTCCGTCTGTTTTACCGCTGTCAGTATTAGAGATGGGCGATCCGCTCCCGAGCTGTTCTGTAGACCCGATTCTCTAAAGTGAGCTGATGACCCGCGGTTAATTTTTTAGGAACCGCAGCTCATCACCTCACTTTATCACAAGTCTAAACCATACATTCCATCACTTGTACCGGAACTTTTAAAAAAGGACATTACTTCACTTACGCATTGAGCAGTTACCGCGTAATACAACATGTTCCTACTGATCGACAGCACCAACGGTAAAAGCAAACTTCCAAGCGGCTGTTTGGGAGAGAGAGAAATATGTACATGTGCTACACGATCTTAATTTTCTACTGGTATTATCCAATTTATTTATGTACCCGGCTCTTATTGCTGATGTTATTCCTCCAGCATATGTGCTCTCACCTCCCCTCACATCATTCTCTGGGGGAGCGGAAGATCCGCACAAAAGCAAATACAAAACCGAAAAGCGAAATGCAGCTCTCCAGCTTATCAGCTCAGCTCCGGATCCGAATCATCGACTCGAATGATTCACTGGGAGTTGTTTAGGATGCAACTCTCGGACCCGTACAGCTCTCGGACCCATCCAGCTCTTTGGATCTTTTTTTCTCTCTCCATTCTTCACGATTCAGCTCCGGATCCGTATCTGAGCTGATGATCTGGAGCTGATGCCGAGAATAGTGAGAGAAATTCTGCTGGAGAATTAACATCAGAAATAAAATTTGAATTTAGACTGGATTGCATAGCTTGAGAAAAGGCGTATCATCGTGTGCCACGTTGTCAATCATATCATCGCGTGTGATAAAGGTGTAGCTCTCTTGCATACATTTTTTTGTTTTACTGCTATGTTGTTGGCACATTTTGCGCGCATTTTGGTTTACGCGATGGTTGTAGCGTTTTTCATTGAAAAGTAAAGCACTAAAACCACTAATTAATTTTCCGATTTTGAATTTGTGTTATAATTTCTATAATTTAAATGTGAGCTGAAGAGCTGTTCAAAAGAATCGACTCCCTTTAGTGAGCTGGATGGGTTTGATCCACCCAGCCAGATGAGCTGTTTTGCCCACCTTTAGTCAGTATGTCCAAAATCGTAACCCCATAATCATTGTATGTAGTCTACACCTGCTTGACGAAATGAATAAATAAAAGTGTCAGATTGTCCAAAAATTCAAAATCATGTGGGCTATGGTGTATCTACGTATATGTGGTTGACAGGGATAGGGTCTCGCTGGTTTTATCACCAGAACAAAATTCATGCGAGGTTGGTAGGCCAGCCCTAGGGTTAAGACGGTAACATGGCATATCACATGATCCTGTTCATATCGAAAATTACTGTCTTCGGAAAAGTTGTGTAGTGGGTTAAGGCCGATTGGTTAGTTAATTTCCTGTATGCAATATATTTTGAGATCTTGACTATACAGGAAGTTTTCCACTTCGATATAGTTGTTCAGCTGACCAAGGTCTTCTAAATTATGGGTAGGTAGTTCAGAATTCGCTCACTGTGCATGTGGACTTCACGTTGATGTCCTGCCCGAGGCTGAACATTTCTTTAACAAACAAGCAAATCTAAGAAGATGCATTCGTAAAATTTGATCAGGTGATTGAAATCTTCTGGATGGGAGACAGATTAGTTCGCAATTTTCTCACTATATACGGCGCTTGTATGTCACCACTTACCACAACTTGCACCGTTGATCCCTTGAACAAGTTTGCCTAAATCAGCAACTTCCTAGATGGTCAGGATATCAAGATATAGCTTATAGATTCAAATATATAGGGTTACGGTATGTAATGTGGGTCTAGTCCTTTCATTCGGCCTATCACGCAAATAAATAATTAATTAAGGAATATTACACAAAAAATAAGGAAAATATTGATCACTGATGATTGATAAATGTGTACCACACACAAATCAATTTATATCACAACATTTCAATACATTTTCAGCTCTCGTAAGTAATAAAACTGGTTGAGAATATCACTCTGTTCGGAGTTTTTAGCCGCCATGACTTCTAAGGTTAAGATGGGAAGGTTGCACTGACGATCATCAAATGGCCTGATTATGGCATTTATTGAATGGAATTACCTGATAATACACACTAGACGTAAAACTCACAGTTACTGTTTGAATATTTTATGTTTATTTTAATTGTTTAACAACGTTTTCACAAGTAAATCATGGACCCAACTTTAGGGACACATTTCTTTTCTATGTTCCTAACTTTGGCCCATGAAATTCATTTGACAGCATATAGCAATAAGAGTAACGTCAACAATGTGGTTTGCATTTGGATGATAAGGAACGAACAGGAAGGGAGATTTTTTCTGCCAAATCTGTATAATGAACATCACAATGTTTTGATTTAGATATTCTGCGGTCGAAAGACGATAAGCGAAATTTTTAATTTTTAATTTTTAACTTGAGTGATTTAATGTAGTTTTCGTAAAATTTTCTCTAAGAAATGTTTTGAGGAATGAAGAGTATTAAGTTAACAGTGATAGTGATAAAAAAAAATACATAAGAAAACGTTACCAAGAGCGTTTTTTTTGAGAATCAAACAGGATAGGACGAAGTTGCATCCATAAATAGACCCAATTTGGGGACAATAGACCGATATTACATACATTTCCCTGGTGAGTTTTTGTCTTAAAAAAAGTAAGTTTTTCAACTTTTTGCGGTTCCTGATAGCAAACGACATGATAAGCATATCTAAGCATACCATTTAGCAGTAGAATATCGTTTGCAGGTAAATTAATTGATGAGTTATGATTAAAAACGTAATCTATGGCTGCATATTAGACCGAGGTTAGGGACGTATACCCTATTTGTTCTTTTTCCGATGTTTTCCTTTTTCTTCTTCATCTTTTCCTTCTTCCATGCTGCCTTCCTAGTCTTCCTTGCGTTTTTTTGGCTCCTCTTCCACTCTTGGTGTTCTTTGTGCTCTCTCTTTTCCGTATGTGAATCGGAGGTCCCTATGGTGTCTTCGCCGCTTCAACCAACTTTGCTTTCTTCATAGCAACTTTAAGAGCCTTTTCAGCATTTTCAGTACTAATCATTCAAAAATAAAAAAAAAGGCATATGGCAAGAGAACGGAATCTAATAGGCCCAGTAGGAGAGGCGAACGTTCATTGCTTTGCGTTCAAGACTACAATTTTCTTGATTTCTATTCCAGTCAGTCGACCTAACCGCGCCGTCCATCTGCACCTTGGAGTTGGTTACATGTCCTTCATGCAACATCAAAATCTCATTAAGGTATGTAGTCCCGGTTATCCGCTAGAACGTTTTGCGTTATATTCAATTGGTTCCTCCTACTCTTTTGCCGAGTCATTCTTAGCCACAAACTCAAGTACAGTACTTCCTCCATTTACGCGGTGGGCGGTTACGTCCACCCACCGCTATTTCTCGACTGTCCTTCAACCAATTGGATTTGATTTTCTGACGATAACTAGTTTATGGTTGACACTAATCACATAGCGTAATTGGTTAAAGGACAACGGAGAAACAGCGGTGTGTGAACGATACCACCCACCGCGTAAACGGAGGGATTACTGTATATATTAGGCCATAATTGTAATCCGTTTACTCATTTTCTCTGCGATCTCCCACAGCTACAGTAATTTCCCGACGAAATGTGCTGTACATAATGAGCTACCGTGTCGTTGCGATTATCTGGAATTTTCCGAACCGCCCTTCGAGGTGGAACAATCTGGACGGCGCAGTTGCGGCCATGACGTTGTCTATCAAACGCAAACGCGCTCGGTGCTGATCAAGTTCCTCCACTGGAGCAACCACTCGCACGCGTTCACCCTGGAATACGTGGCGGAGAGTGAGTTAACCGCCATGCACACTTCTAAAGATCAATTATAAATGTGTATTTCGTCCTACAGGGAATCGTGAAACATTGCAGGTCAACCCTGGTGGAATACATAACCTGACGGGAGGAGTGCACACCAAAACCATTACGACGCCGTACTTTCCATCGTACTACCCGCGGGACTTTGGCAAGGAGTACGTTCTGAACTGCAACGTGGAAGCTTGCCGGGTGAATGTTATCTTCAGTGATTTCCTGCTGGCGAAGACATCGACGATGGAGTTCTACGACTGGAATGGGCAGCGGTTGCATGCGATATCGGGAGCAAGCTTTCGACCTCCGGTGGTGCAGAGTACCGGGCCATCGATGATCATCAGATTCTACGCTAACGGAGGGTCAGGACTAGGGTACAGGGCGAGGGTATCATTCTTGACGGTGGAGAGTGCGGCGACTCCACTGATGCTACCGGATACGAACTGCGGTGGGATGGTGGAGAATGTGGGTGGAGCGATTACGATGATGAAAATGGTTCAGGGACAGGATGAGGCTAGAATGTTTGATTGTATCTGGCTACTGAAGCCTCCGAATACATATGCTCATTTGAAGACTCACCTTTCGTTACGGATTGATACGTTTGAAAAGTTGGGACCGAATTCGTTGTTGACCGTGGGTCAAGGGACAACTTCGGATGGTGGGATCTTGGACGTTGTAAGACCGAATATCGGTGGGCATAGCAAAAACTATGTGACACCGTTGACCTCCGGATTCTATGTGCATCTAAGGGCAACGTTTGCTATGCAATCCAGAATGGCATTGGTCTACTCGGCTTTCAGTTATCTAGGTATGAGCTTGAATGGACTATTACGTGATTTAATTTAATTGTTTTGTTTCGTAGATTGTTACATGGGATCTGAATTCCTGTGTCAGAATAGGAAATGCATCCCGGTTCAACTGCACTGCGATGGCTTCGATCACTGTGGAGATGGAAGCGATGAGCCGGCAAGCTGCGAAGCTCAGTGGGAAACGGAACGCGTAGATCGCCGGTGGTATTCGCATACGCCGAATTACTACTTTCCGAAGATTGATCGCTACCCGGACCTTCGGACCGCAACGGTTATTTTTATAGCCAGTGCTTTCGGCTTGGTCATGCTGATTTCCGTGTTTATCATTCTACTTTACCGTACCGGAAGTCGTGCTCGCCATCAGCGGGAGCTTCAAAGTCAACTACAAACCATCAGTGAACTGTTAGGTGAGTAAATTTCTTGAAATGGAAGTAGTTTGATGGTTTTGAAGGACTTGCAGTGAATGTTATTCAAGCAGATAACAACAGCCCACGTGGCCCTGAGGATGTGGACGAACCACCGATGTATGAAGCTCCACCAGATTATGATGAGATAATTAAGGTAGGGATGGATGATGATATCAAGAGAAAGCGCAGGAGACACTCGTCGTCCGCTTCGGGACGACGAAGCCGTATGAGACGATCCCGTAGACCGAGCAACGTATCGGAAAGTAACAATCCGATTTTGGAAGTGCGTTTACCTCCGGAGCAGACGGACGAAGGTCCTTCAACCAGTGCCACGCTTCAGGTTCCGTACGGTGTAGAAGGAGGTGGTCATCATGCTTCTGATTATGAAGACGATGAACCTCACTGGAATCAATCGGAACCGAACTTCTTCATGTCATCCCGTATTGTAGGTGAGTTGAGTTGTTTGATTAAATCGTCTATGAAACGATCATGATCAGTGCTCTGACATAGAATGGCGTTTGCAGAAGCTCCACCGTCGACTTCGGCGAGCCAGAGTTTCAGCGTTGGCTGCCAAACAGCAGGAACAGCTCCGGCCGGGTGCTCTTCGAGCCCTCCGCCGACGTACGACAATTCGGAGTTCTTCCACAATAGGTGAGATCTTATTAAATTTAGTCAAATGCCATCTTAACTCATGTTCCCCAAGCAGTCTCCACCCGGTCCAGAACGCATCTTGCTCCACATCCAATTCGGACAATTTCTCACGAGGCTTCGCTGAGGAGCCTCCTAATGTCACGCTATCGCTGAACGGTACTCCCCAGCAATCGACCGATCGGTTATCTCCTCCACCAGCACCAGCTCCGGTCGGAACGACCTGTAGCATTTCGGTAGATACCACCGTCGCCAGACCCCAACACATATGGAGCCAGAACACCCGCGTCCAGCGTCCTTGGCTGGCATTCAGTGGAGATGATCCACAGGGTGCTGCCAACTCTTCCGGTTTTCTACCAACACTTAACACTCCTCCGCATGACTTCAGTGGTCAGCAAATCTTCAGCTCCGCTGATCTTAATCAAATTAACGAGATCGATACGTACCTGCTGGCGTACGGATCCAGATCCAATGAGGAATTGGGGTAACTATCTGCGATCCGAGTTCAAGCTAATAAACCAACGCCATCCGTCTCCCGCTATTTCAGATCTCCCGGAGCAGTCAGCAGTACTACTGAAACCTGGTCCAACAGTACTGGATGTTCGCATCTACCGTCAACATGCTCTTTCGTGAGCAACTCATGTGCCTGTTCGTCAGTCGGATCCAATGCTCGCAGCGCAGGCTCCAACAACTATGATTATATCATCCACAACTGTCCCCGATGTAGGGAATCTCAACACCTCCACACATCTTTGTGCCCGAATTACAACCCTGGCAGGACGACCACGCTTCCTGCTATCGTATGTTCCACATGTGGTGGTAAAATCTCCCTTCAAGATGGTCTTAACCTATCCGGTGGATCATTGCAACAACAACCGCCATCGACCACCAGCGATGGTCAGCTTGCAGCCCTTCCAGGTACGGCTGTCCGGTTGTGCAATTGCTTTCCCAAGTTTCCCTCGCAGACCGGTATGGTGGCACGGGCCGGGTCAGCAAATGTGATATCCACCACGGCCCGACCGATGTCGCTGGAACAGATCGACACCACCAGCGCGCGGCGCAGTGTTGCCAGTTTGACGAGCAACTTTGAGGCGTTCCTCAACTCGCATATCGGCATACCAAATTCCGAATTGAAGTCTTAGACCAGTGATTTTTAACCTTTTCTAGCATGGTTGCATCCTCCTTCTCAAACCTGTTGAAAACGCTGTCATAGACCATAGATAGAATATGAACTATTTTGTACAATGAATGTTTCGGATATTGAATAAAACTAAATAAGCCATAGTGCATGCAGGATTCCCTTAAGTATGGCCGATTGTATTTATTTCTTTTATTCGATCATTACCTACCAATAATATAAATATTTTGTTTCCTGCCTTCTATATATGCCATCTAAGTTCTGATCTGCTAACAATCTTCTTCAGAGTAAATAACAAAAATATTTCTCTCCTAAGGAAAAAGTCTTACTTGCTAATGCTTTTCTCATGGTTTTCAATGTTTCCATAACATTTTGATGTTCTTTTCATATTCAAAGCTACGAGTTTCACTAAATTTTACATTCACTAGCATTTTTGATTCTGTTGTGTTTATACGCTACAGTATGATTAATTAAAGTTCGCTTGATTTCAGCGTATTTTGTTTCACTATTATTTATAGAAAGAGATTTCAGCTCTAGGAATAGGAAAGGTACGAAATTTGGCTACAAGTTAGATTTAAATGTTCCAATATGTTGATGGCAGGCAGGATTTGTTGCAATTGCCAAGATGTAGTTTAGGGAAGTTGCTGTGTGGTAAATTGATGAAATAAGAATGTAATGTAAACCAAAACAATTTTAATAAAAGCGCAACATTTGATTTGATATCTTTAGTTTGTGTCTTTCGATCAGTTTTGGTTGGAACCACATGCAATGGATTCGGATTTGTAAAATCATACTTAATATATTTCTAGTACGGATATCTGATGATAGCGATTTTTTTTTATAGATTATTGACCACACTAGACGAAATGTTAGCGAGGTCAACAATATTAAAACACGAATGTTTAACAGAATTCCAGGATAATTGCTCACTTCGAGTGTAATTACTTGTATCCGGTAAGTTTTATTTAAGTAAGTTTGTTTAATGTCTGTGAAATCCGGAGGCGAACCAGCCCAAGGCTGAAAACCGCCTTAATAAAGAAAACCTAACCTAACCTCTTATGGACCGTGAGACATTTATGCGCATAAAGGAAATGTAGGTATATTGGATATCTACATGCACTTTGAAACCCAATGTAAACATGATGTAAGGAAACGAGTGACTCTGAGTAGAGGTAGAAACAACTCGCGATATTTTGGGCAGACATGTCCGTATGACGTATGGACGTATGGAAGTATGACTTGCAAGGTTTCTTACAGAGATGACCTGCAGGATTTCTGAAAAGTATTTAAGTATTTTGTATGAGTATTTTAATGTAAATACTTTGCGTATCGTGTCAAATGGGTGTTCATTCAGACAAGCAACTCTAACGAGTTCGAAGAATTATGACAGTTGTTTGTTGACAAAAAATATCGATTTTGTACGAGCTGCTTCATGCGAGTACGAGCTGGGTCATTGAACAAACCTATTGTTGACGAATTTGAAATAAAAAATCGGCTGCTTTTTGACGTAGGACTACGTCTGTAATTTCTATATACACTTACACTTTGTGAAAACCGAAAATGGATCATGTAACAATATTATGAAAGATTTTGAACGTTAATAACTCAGCTTCCCCTGGACCAATTTGAATAATTTTATCAGCAATCGATCAGAAATATTTCTACACATCTGTTGAATTTAAGACATTATCAATTTTAAAAATGTTACTATTGCTATGATAGTTAAAATTATCACCGATTGCCTGCCAAAAACGATTTTCCTAACACAGATTTCAAAGTTGAATTTTATCTGGTCTCACCAAGCAGAGTTCATTCAATCACCGCGTGATGAGTGGTGGCGTTCTCCAGTACACAACGAAAGGCTCCCCGCAAGCAGCTAGCTGCCCTCAACCGCTGGTCGGATACAGTCCAATCACCGTGCGTGGTGATGTCTGGTCGTCGGCATCAGCAGTACTTTCGGCGCGTGGCGTTCAATATTGTTCTCCAGTACACAACGAAAGCGAGCTGCAGCCCACGTGAGCATCAATATAAGGAGGAAGAAGCCGCACCACTATTGATCGGAATCAGTAGCTCTTCGTCAGTCGCTGTGGGCCATCTATGTCAAGCGCGTCATACTAAAGAGTATAAACAGAGAGAACTCCGCTCAAATTCCTATTCCTACACAAAACACAAGCTCCTGCTGCAGTTAACAAATAATTTATATAAGACCACGTAGTCCTACGTCACCATTGCGTACAATCCCATAGGGCTGTTCCTTGTAAGTTTTTGTTTGGCTTTTGACGCTTCTTATGCAACCGTTTTGCTGGCTTTCAACTTTGTGTTAATTGAGAGGTTTTTGTGCCAACCAATGCATGACGTTGTGTATTGTGTGGCAAGCACAAGGAAATATCACTCACTCATGACTTGCGACGATTGCATTGCGATCGCCTAAATCTTCATTGCATTTATGGAAGGTTAAAACGGTTTTCAGTTATATTGGATTTTGAAGTTCATTAATCATTTGCTAACTAAAAGGGACTTTTTTTAACGTAGGACTACGTCTGTGATTTCTATATGAAGGTTCATTTTGTGAAAACCAAAAATGGAACATGTAACAAAATTATGAAAGATTTTGAACGTTAATAACTCAGCTGCACTTGAACCAATAGTACAATAGTTTTATCACCAATCGATCAGAAATTTTCCTGCGCATCTGTTAAATTTAAGACTTCATCATTTTACGAAATTTCACTATTGAAAGTGCACGAATGTGCAGCTGTTGCCATGCATGGAAAATCATTTGCATTCATTTCGTGCATTTATTTACATTCATTTACCTCTAACTTTTTTCTTCAACAGCATTTCGCAAAATGATGTATAGAGATTTTGTAGGTTTTATTAATAGCTACAAATTTTGTTTAAAAGTCAAATCCGTATCTCTTATGCATGACGAACCAGAGCGAACAGAAGCCACTACTGTTTTTCAGTGAATGTATTTAACATTCAATGAAAAACAGTAACAAGTTCTACCCGCTCTAGTTGGTGATGCATAAGGGATATAGATTTGAGTTATGAGAAAAAGTTGAGCTAATAACAAAACCTACAAAAACTCTATGCATCATTTTGCGGAATGCTGTTTATGAAAAAATTTAGTGTCAAATGAATGTAAATGAATGCAAATGATTTTCCATGCCTGGCTGTTGCTATGATAGTTAAAATTATCTCTGATTGCCTGCGAAAAGCGATTTCCCTAACACAGATTTCAAAGTTGAATTCCATCCGGTCTCACCAAACGGTGTTTATTCAATGGTGGTGGTGTTCTCCAGTACACAACGAAAGGCTGCTCGCAAGCAGCAAGCTGCAGCCCACATGAACATCCATAGAAGGAGGAAGAAGCCGCACCGCTATTGATCGGAATCAGTAGCTCTTCGTGTGTCGCTGTGGGCCATCTATGTCAAGTGCGTCATATTAATGAGTGTAAACAGAGAGAACCCCGCTCAAATTCCTATTCGTACACAAAACACTTTTAGCTCCTGCTGCAGTTAACAAATAAGATTTATTATATAAGACCACGTAGTCCTACGTCGCCACTGCTTACAACCCCATAGGGCTGCCCCTTGTAGCTTTTAAATTATTTAAAAATTCAATCATCAAATTATAAAAATTGCTTTTTTAATATTAATATTAACATGTCCCTTCCTGTTGTCAAACGCAACAATTGGTTTCTTTAATTTAGAAAAAATTATGGTTTTTTAAACATCTTCCTAAAGCGCATTATTTTATGAGCGCAACTATATTTTTTCCAAACCCATAGACTTTCATCTTGATTTTTGAATCAAGATTTAATGCAAAATAATATGTTCACTGTTTGATACAAATTGACAGCTCCCTCCCATACAAACTCCCACCGGGGGGCATAAGATGGTGAGTTTAGCTAATGTATTCGCTCTAATTTAAAATAGTTCTAGTGTAAGCTATTCCATAGCAAAACGATACAGAGGTTCTTAGAATTCGTATAAATTGCTAGTTTTGTTCCTTATTGCAAAATATTAGATCCATATTTTGTTTAGGGTAACCATTTCCATGATAGGGTAGTCCAGAAATGACTTTTATCAAAAATTCATAACTTTTGAACCACCTGGTCGATTTCAAAGATCAACATATCAAATGAAATATAATACTTTTTTTCAAATAATACTTAATCAAAATACTTTTTTTGAGAAAAATATAATGATATTGAAAAAAGGGATTTTGTATTGAAAAACATTAATTTATAGCGACTGCAACATGATCACGCATGAGAGTATTGAGCGAAAACCCAAAAATTGAAAATACTTCTTCTTCTTCTTCTTCTTCGCATTTCAAGCTTATTGCATTTAAGGATAGAACAAAACTAGCAATTATTACGAAATTCTTAAAACCACTTTATCGTTTTGCTATGGAATGGCTGGTGTACCGAAATTGATGAAATTTTGGATTACGGTTCCAATTTTAATACTCTTAAAGAACCCAATTGAATACATACTGTGAAAGTTGTAAAGCACATGAATCATTGCAAAATGAATGCTTAATTGGCAACGTTGCTGCTGCTTGCAATTTTTGAGATATTTGCTGTTCTTGAATTTCCTTCGGTTGCCATCTTGTTTTCTTCTAATATACTTGAACGACTTTTAATTAAAAACAGCTCATCTTTGTACCTAAAATCACAAATAATAAAAAAGGACCTTTAGTTATTGGAACACGAATTGAATTCAAGATCATTTGTTAGAATGGGAGCCTACGAAAAATGTCCATCTTAGCACACTTATTGTCAAATTAACCGCACATGGAACCTCCATATCCTCTCCGAGCTGCTACCGCAAATCTTATCCACCTCTCTTCCGCAAACAGTAGCAATACTTTCTCAGATAATCCACGTGCATACACTCGCTCTGACTAGCATACTCATTCAGCCGGCTGATCGATCCGGTAATCTCGAACGACTTGCGCCGGGTGTAATGCCTCACCGTTGACTCGAACTTGCCCGCTCCGGGCTTCCCGTCAAATATCAATAGATAGTCGGTGTGGGGTACGTCCGCGTCCGGGTGCCTGGCCACCTTGGCCAACGAGATCGATTTCAGCTGTATCTTGGCACAAAGTTTCTTGGTTAAATTTTTCTCATAATCCTCCAGATCGCGATTGATCGAATCGATCACGAAGCTAACTACTTCGTGCACAATTTTGGAGTCTTTGTGTATCTTTTCAAAGTTTGAGCAGGTGCACCAGTGCGATGCGATGGACGTTTCTTCACAGGACCGATTCCAGGGCATTTCTTGGAATAGGCTCTGACAGTTAGGGCAACTCAGCGGTGGTGGAAGGTTGTCGACCCGTTCCGATAGCTCTAGGACGTGCTTCAGCGTTGCGTGTAGATCGTAAGGGTTTGTCAAACGGTTTCGGTTGATCTTCAACGCTTCGACAGCTTCCGGGTGTTGTTCTTTGAACCACTCCGGTAACCAGAGGAACATAAAGGGTAATCGCTCTTCGAGCCACCCGGTTAGCAACGATCGAACTGCTCCGAACCGTAATCCATGATCGCTGAAGAACACCACCATACTGCTGTTAAGGATGCCTCTCTCCTCTAGCTCTTCAAGGTAGTACTTGATCCGTAGGTCCATGGATGAAGGATCGCTGATATCGTTGTGACTGAACGTATTAGTCCAAAATAGCCCAAAGCTGGGCTCATCCTTATAGAACGTTGCAAAGTCCAGAGCGTACTGGTATATGAAATCTGCATAGTTCTGGTAGCCCAGACAGAAGGTTAGAGAGTTCTTCGTTTTCTTGACAAGATTCTTCTCTGCGGCCAGTGCCATCGGTCTTAAGTAGTAGTCCGTCGGGGGTTTGACGAATCCATACTTGTGGTAGTTAAACGTGTTGATACTGGCTTCGTCTTCAGCGTAGGCAGTTACGTAGCCGCTGTTGGCAAACATGTTCCACACGAATGGACACGTCTCCAACTGACCCACCTTACGAGGATTACAAGTATCGTACGCTAGGGAACTGTTGTATCCAGTCAGGATTGCCATCAGGTTCGGGAACGTGTTGTCGTCGATCTACGGGTATAAAACTGTATCAGTCCAACATATCTACATTGATCTCCACCCATCTCAACTCACCTTGTTGTACCCTTTCAGTTCGAACCATCCCGTATCGTATAGGTGTTGTGCAGTGTGTGGCATCGCTCGGATAAGATTGAGCCGTGAAATGCTATCAATCCCAACCATCAGCACACTGAGCGGTCGTTGCTTGTAGCTATCGCGATACCTATCTAGCCGTTCCCGTATTGCCGGTTTCGCCCGGACGATCGCATGCACGTTCGTGTAGACCGACTTGCGAGTTTTACTGGTCTCCGAAACACTCCCCTTGCAGCGAACCATTACTCCGTTGGTTACATTTGGCGGTAGTTGGACGTCGTTGGAAAAATATTTACACTCACTTAAGCTGGAAAATCGAAAAGAACCGTCACACTATGACTTATTTCAGCATTACAATGTTCAACTCACTTAAAATTTGTATCAGCCTTTTCGTTGACCCCGGACCGTTCGATGCTCTGGTAGCAGCATTCGATGTACTTCATGTAGTGCGGCAGATGCGCCGCAACTCGGTCTCGATGGAACCGTAGCACAACCGTGTCGTTCTCGAGCGGTTTCTGCTCGATCATGGTGAGCGGATGCTTCGACGAACATGGAATGAACCTCTCCTTATGAAACAGCCGCATCACGTCATCGGCCAGTGGATCCAGGTCCAGGATCTGACATCCCGGTCCCCAAACGATGAATCCCTTTGGCACTGCATTGGACGTCGTTGCATTGGAGTTAGGTGGGGTGGTGCCGGTGATGGATGTGATGAGGGTCATGGCATCGTCATCATCAACGTTGTTGGAATGTTTGGGTTGTGGCACCGCACGGTGGTTGGTAAGTGTGTTTGGAATAACGGGAATGATTTTGTTGGTTGAGGATTCAAATACTACTTTCGATGAGGCTAGGCCTTTTTTTTTTTTGGTTTATTGCATTAAGGTTTGTAGCGATAGCGAGGTGCAGGTTTCGTGATATATTTTATTTGGTGTAACAGATAAAAACCAGCGTGCAACATAGAGTTCATACAGTGGTCATCGGGATTCGGGTGTTTTAATTGCCGTTGAGTGGGTTGGCGTTCAACATTGATTCGGAAACAGGGACAAAACATGGAAACGAAAAGAAACACATTGAAAACATTAAAACCAATCGTATGGAAACAAATAGTAGTTCTTTCCCTAACATTTTGTAGTGTGGGACAATGGGAAAGGGTTAAGAAATGATCAGTGAATGATTGATTGATTAATTATATAAATAACATTAATAAACATAAACAAATGAGATGGATAATTCAGCTGATGGAATACCAACATGGAACCAATATGAATTCTAACGTTCTCTAAGTAAATTTGCAGTTACGCCTTCAGAGAGGTACCGTTATAGTAAAAGCTGCCTGATCTTTGGTAGTAGGAAAACTGACCACAAATGGTATCTTTTTAGCAGGTATCAAGGAATCCAGAAAAGAAAGCACACTGGCGGTATTTTCATCTCACAGCTACACGGTGAATGAAAACGACCCAAATTTGAATTTAGTTCACTCATAATCGCCAAAAGTGCAGGAACTCAGCGATGAGTAAAATTTGTCTCATGGTTTCTTGTGGAAAACCTAAAAAATATGTCGGAAAATGAGGAAATTGACGAAAATTTCATTCAGTCTCGGAGTAGTACCAATAGACTGAGTGAATCGAATCTTTAATTTCCTCAAATTCGGGAATTTTTCCCTGGAACATCCTGGAAAAAGCTGGGAAAACATGAGGCAAATTTACTCACCGCTGAGATCCTGCACATTTGGCGATTATGAGTGAACTAAACTCAAATTTGGGTCGTTCTCATTCGCCGTGTAGCTTACACACTTAAGGCCCAAACGCAATGTGGGCGGAAGCGGAACGGAAACGTAAAGCTTGACAGTTGTCACAAATGACATCTAGATGCCTAATCGAAGTCGATTTGGTTCAAACTAGTAGGCCGACAAGTAGGCCTACTCAAATCGGGCCTTTTAGCTGCCGCTGCCGTTCCACTTCTGCTGTCATTCATTGCCTGTGCCTTTAGTTTTGTTTTCACCAGCTCGGAAATTGTTTTCCGAGATTTATTTTTCCTTGATTTCTTTTCCGTTGATCTTATTTTCCGTGCTGAGCATCAATGCTACCGACACCAGGGAGGCAGCTCCCACACCTGGACCCTACCTATCGACCCATCAACTCATGAACCGGCGACCAACGGCTTACTTCCCGTGATCAGCGATGTTATGTCATAGAACATCCCGGCGGTGCCGACTGGGATTGAACCCAGGCCTACTGGGGTGAGAGGTAATTACGCTTACCACTACACCACCTGCGCCGTTAGTTTGCCGAGATTTTCACAGCATTAAGTTTTACTGAGATCTCAGCTAACATGACGGTTGTTCTCTGAGATTCAGCAGAACATTTTCCGAGACTCAGCTACCGCACGTCATGTTTGCTGAGATCTCGGCAAAATATGTTTACCGGGAGAGGTCGGCTGTGCAAATCTCGTCAAACATTTCCGAGATTCGACAAACAAAATTAAGTGTGTAGGGTATAAAGGCAATATACATTAGATGAAACAATCTCTCACGTAAGCAGTGATGGCATAATGATAAGCAAATTGCCCTTCATTTTCTTAGAAAGAGAAGGTATAATGATGCTATTCCGTTTTTTACGAAGTGACTGCTGCTAACCACAATTTGGTGAGATTTGCAGCTGGTGAGTTTTGTTAGCTTTAAGGCCAACGCACATTAGATCCAGATCGGACGCGTTGCGGCAAACTGACAGCTAAATCTATTGTCTAACTGTCAAATTTACGTCAACGCAACGCAAACGGATCTAATGTGGGTGGCCCTTTATACTCCGAGCTGCGATCTCACATTTTGCAATATCAACCGCAGGTGATGGCTTGTTGATTTTTGTTAACGAAAATCATGCGCGATCTTGTGTTTTCGTGAGATTTGATTTTTTTGATATTTTGCCAACACTGCTCGTAAATATTCTAATTGATAATGCCAGTTTGCTCTTCTCTCACCAGTGCTGCAAAATCTCGACAATACACGGCGATATTCAAAATTCTGCTTTGGTCACTCATTTGAGCTAACAGTCATCGTCAAGGGAAACCATGTCAATTGTCAGTGACAATGCTGCTGTGAAACGAAATTAAATTACTTGAATCAAGCAATTACATGGAGCCGATAAAGTGCAGAAGCACCGACGATAACAATAATGTGACTCAGAAGGCATGAAATTGCACTCTTTGTTACCAAGTGAATCTCTGTCAATGACGAAAAAATCAATGAGATTTTGAAAAAAAAATTTTGTGAGGATCAAGTCAATCAGTGACTATGTGATAAACAATGTTGTCAATATCGCGCGAAAGTCTGTCAATGACAATGACAAATCTCAGCACTGTCTCTCACAAGTGCAAATCACTTGTCAGACCAAATATTTTTTTGAAAATTTCGTCCGATTGATTTTGACTTGTCCTGAACGATTTCTCTTCCGTTTCCAGTATAAGAAACAATCAATACGAAACTAACGATTTTAAATTGGCTCACTACTTGACTAGCCTATTGGTCCCAAGCAAACGATTAACGTATCCCATTCTAGTCGAAATTCTAGTACTGCACAATGTTTGTTTTGATTCGCTATGAAAGTTTGACAGGTAAAATGAGGGGTTATTGGTTTTTCCTATGTTTCGAGGGGTGAATCGATTAGCTTGGGACCGAAGAGAGTACCAGAGCTGAGCCAAAAAGTTGAGCACATTTCTTTGGGACCTTCTAGTCTTAGAGTTACCTCTATGGTATAAGCATAGAGGTAACTCTAAAGGCCCACGCACATTAGATCCGGATCGGACGCGTTGCGGCAAAGTGACAGCTAAATCTATTGTCTAACTGTCAAATTTAGGTCAACGCAACGCAAACGGATCTAATGTGAGTGGCCCTTAAGACCAGAAGGTCCCGAAGATACGTGCTCAACTTTTTGGCTCAGCTCTGGTACTATTATAACGTTGGGGGCAACCGAGGTGGATTTGTCGTCGAGATAGTACCAACAATCAATACGAAACTAACGATTTTAAATTGGCTCACCACTTTAGTAGCCTATTGGTCCCAAGCAAACGATTAACGTACCCTATTCTAGTTGAAATTCTATTACTACACTATGTTTGTTTTGATTCGCTATGAAAGTTTGACAGATAACTGGGTCCCGAAGAAAATCATTATTATTTTTGGCTCACTCAGTACCAGAACAATGGTCCCAAGCAGTCCCAAGCTATTTCACTCACCCCTGCATGTTCTGCATGAATCCACACACCCCTGATGTTATCTGTCAAACTTTCATAGCGAATCAAAACAAACATAGTGTCGTAATAGAATTTCAACTAGAATAGGGTACGTTAATCGTTTGCTTGGGACCAATAGGCTACTAAAGTGGTGAGCCAATTTAAAATCGTTAGTTTCGTATTGATTGTTGATAGTACACCGCTCGAGTGTTCATCACTGACTGTGTCGTTTATTCAAAGTTCTATTACTTTAAAATAGTTCTCGACCAGAAGTGAACAGCAATGTCCAAGTCATAATAATAATAAGACAAAACCTAAACGTTGGCGAACCCTGAGAAAGGTCGCAAGAAAAGCATAATAATTTATTGCCTCTCACTCGGAGTGTGGCAAACAAACCATAACAACTTACTCGCGCACTCTCGGAAGGTCGTGCATAAATGGTGACGAATAATAATGTTTACTACCCGCATGCAATGAAGGTCGCACACGAAGCAAACCTAAAAGTTGTCTGAGCTGGCGAATGTATGTTCTTGAGAAACATACACATCTGCTCAGCACATTGAGGAATTTGAAGGAAAGTTTATTGTCGACTTCAAACCGTCCGAATGCAAATGGTATTGAATAGCAAGGATGCTACACTATCTTCGGCCCCAAGCTAATCGATGAACCCCTCGAAACATAGGAAAATCCATGAACCCCTCATTCTATCTGTCAAACTATCATAGCGAATCAAAACAAACATTGCGTAGTACTAGAATTTCGACTAGAATGGGGTACGTTAATCGTTTGCTTGGGACCAATAGGCTAGTCAAGTAGTGAGCCAATTTAAAATCGTTAGTTTCGAATTGATTGTTGGTATAAGAGTCTTGACCCGGAAGCAGTTTAAAATCAGCTCGAGCTTTCACATAGAAATATTTGAATTCAACGAATGCGTGTGCAGTATTTTAAAATTCTGTTTCCCTTGTATTGACTTCTCGACGCAAAATCTCACTTATACAACCTAGCTAGCGCAGCCCTGTAAAATCGGTTTGTTTATTATTTTCAACCTCGAAATCAGCTGTCAAAGTGTTCGACTTAGCAGCGGTTTGTTTTTTATTTTCAACCAGTAAAATACATGTATTAGTGCAACTTCTCACTAATACTAACGGTGGTAGAGAACTCTATGGTAACCATCTTAAAAACTTAATGAAAATTTCCCAAGACAAAAATGACAAGAGATTCCACACAGCTTTGAAAATCAATGTTTGCTATTTTTTAAAGTACACGCTTAACAGAAATGCACTAAATTTGAGTTGACTATTTTTAGCTTCTTCCACCAAATATACTACATTAAGAATATAGTTCACTCTTAGATTTCCCATACATCATCCAGGGAACAGAAACTTACGATTCGAAACGTCATCTAACGTGAGAAAAGGCAACCAATCTTCATTTGATTGCAATCGAGGGGTAAGTGAGTTGCAATTGTTACACATGAAAAATCGAATTCTGTTACATTAATCTTACATCTGCATTGCTTAAGTCTGCATGGAAATACGAAATTAATTGTTTAAATAAGTTTTATTATAAGAGAGGTTTATCTTAAAGCTTTGAAGTAAACCCTCGTAAGCTTAATCAAATAGATTAGTTACATTTTCTGACGCAAAGCACTTGTTGGCTTAACATCGAGTCTCCGAAAAAACAAAAGAGTGAGGTTCCACCCTTTATCCTGTGCAATATAGTAGGTCCAGTAAGCTTTCAGTTAATAATTCCAGCGTTCAGAAGGGCCTAACTGTGATGATCAATTATCTTCACCGATTTTCTCTTTTATTAATAAATAACACGACTTAAATAATACTTCTCGGCGCGTTTGATGTTGCATTCGCTATTCATTACAACATTTTACGTCACTGCTTCGAACAAAAAAAAAAATCGGAAAATTGTGTCACTTAAATATAGAAATACAAAGAGAATCGATCATCGCAGTTAGGCCCTTATGATTCTGATTGCTAGAATTGTATATTAAGTGCTCAAAAGAACACTATCTTGAGGGAAAGTACTTAGTAGCTCCAGTTGGAAGTAAGGGAAAACAGTCCATCCAACCCCGCGCTGAATTTAATTGCTTTCCCTTTTCTAATTCTACCCTATACATTCAGGGAATTTCAAATGACCCATTTTAAGATACAATTAAGAAAAACGAAAAACGTAACAGGTCAATTATTCAAATCAGTCATCAAACAAAAACAAACACATCGAAGATTGGAAAATGATTAGATTGAAAATGCATAAAGGAAAGCGAAATGTGGGTGAATTTGTGTTCCCTGTTTGTATAAGCCTTTGTGAGCATGTGAGGAAAAAGGAGGGAGTCGTGCAAAGCCGCATTGTTAGCAATGTGAGCTTTCTATTTCTGTACAAGTAGGGTAAAACAGGGAACAACTGCACCCTGGGCAAAACGCCTGATTTGGTTTTTCATAGATATTCCACTCTTAATTATGTGATTTTTTGAACCAAAATGCTAGTGTATGAACTAAACTAGCACTGCCGCTTGTAAAATGTATGCATTGAAAGGGGAATGCTATGAAACATCGCATCTGGCGTTTTTCCGTGGGGTGCATTTTGAGCTGTTTTCCCCTATAGAGGAAGCGTTAGGAAAATAGGCTTTCTTCAACCGCACTTTTCTCACTCTTTCATGTCTTGTCTCTTACCTCTTGGTCCCGGAAGATCTTCGTCATCGTCCGGTATAGTGACCACCATCTGGTGCACCACAGGACGTATACTGATCGTCGACAGTGACAGGTAGAATGTGATGAACGCGAGCACCACCAGCACTCCCAACCGGATGCGGCCACATTTTTCCTGGTGAAGGCCTTTGTTCTCGCGCCTATTCGCTGTACAAGTGGGTGCCCCCGGTCCGGTGGGAGGGCGCCTCGATGCCGATGAAGTGGAAGTTTTTGCCTCCGTGTCGAGCAAGGGCTCCCAGTCGGATTCGTTGCCGGATCTCATGCTGTTGGAACATTGCTGCGAAAAGGAAAGAAGAGAAAAGCGATACAAATATGGCATCATTAAGCAACACGGGAGCTACTATTCATCTGGCTCGGTTCAAAACGAGGATTATTTAGTAGGTGGGAGAAGCGCGCTTGCAGGATATTGGAAATGATGAAGCAGCTATTCAAGGCTTTCTTGAGCACTTCGGTCGTGGGTCGCGTGAATGGGCTAGGAAGGGAGTTCATAGCAAACGACTTCCGTCACATTTTCGAACCGACGGTTGTGAAAAAAGGAGTATAAAATAACAGCGGATGCAGAGTGTATAAGGAGCGGAACTTCATTACTCCCTACTGTGTGAGTCGGTTTGCTCCTTTGAAAGGCGAACTGTAGAGCTAGCCACCGTTGGATATCAGAAAAGGATAATTCGCGATTAATGTTTGAATAGGTTCGATGCTCAACTGTCGATCAAAAAATCGATTTTTAATTTAATTTTTGAACTTTTTATTGTATGCATCAATATTGCAAATCCACCGATCAGGTCGCGGTAGAAAGCTTATCAAGTGATAGACATTGGTCTATTTAAAAATTTATCGAGAAGTATGAACCCTACCAACAGAACGCTCATTTTATACGGTCTTAGTCCTTCGTCGGTCGCAAATAACATAGATAAATGCAACCGTCATACTGCACCACACATTGCATCGTTTTCAAATGACACTAACCTGCTGCTACCTCCAGTCAGTCAATGTTCCATACAGCGGACGCGTATATGTTTAATAACAACAGCCGCCGCTCGCATTGCATCGACCGACCGACCGACCAACAGACTGGCGCGATGCAGTGCAAATTGTTCTAAATTTAGAACCTTGCGGGAGCATTTAAATAGTTGGTGTACAACAGACATTTCACTGGTGCTGTTTGGACTACTTCTTCCTCATTCGGGCGCGATAAATTATCGAAATATTGCCATCGGAAGATGAAAGCAAAGCCGGCCTTGAAATGAACGGGGAAGGTCGTTTTTGTGGGGCGCCAACTAGTACCTACTACTACTGCATGAATTCAATGACGTCTAGAGTGTGTCGTTCAGGGGGCCGCTGCCATCAAGCATGGCTTTAATAGATTTCGCGAGTTCGGGAGTGTGAGGCGTGAAAGCAAACTTTAGGACATTTTTTGCTAACATTATTTGAGCGCACTTTTTTCGAACAAAAGTTAAATGCAAATATTTGTACCCATTATTGTCGATGACAGAGGTTACCTGTCTGTCGACTGCCTGGCCCAGCAGCTCAGAATGGCATACAAATCATTTATCACTCGCGTTGATTAAACTCCGCATTCACTCCGTCTGCGGTTGTCAGCTAAAAGTTCAAAGGTTCGTTTGCATTTGACCATTTGCAACCGAGTTCTAACGATAAGCATCAGCAATTTAGCTAAACCCGTCGTTCAAATCACCTAGGGAGCACCCAGTTCGGTAATTCAGCGGAGAGCAACAAAACCGGTATCCAAAGTCTCACCTTCAATTAATTAACATAAAATTCTGTGTAAATGATAAACCGTAGGTAGTCTAACAATGCAGCGGTAGTGGTGCGAAATATAAAACAGTGGAATCCATCAAGAATTGTAAAACGACCTTGGTTCGTGTTGTGTACCATGCATCCGGTTTGCATCACCGTGATGTTATAAATTAATCAACATTTGGGATAAACCCACTTTTTGCAACATCTCTGAAAAGAGCAATTCTAGATGGAGCTGGATTTAGGGCGTAACAGCTTTTGTAAACAAAGACTTATTTTGATGATTTCTTGAAATTTAAGGCTTGCCAATGCAAATCAACAACACCATCGGGTAGGGGAAGAGTTCCCGTACCCAACGGTTATGTTGGTTTGTGTGGGCGTGCCTTGAGTTCCTAGAAATCATTGATATAAGTCATTGTTTACAAAGGCTGTTACGCCCTAATTTCAGCTCTATCTAGAATTCTCGGTTACGTATCTGTTTTTGCAAACAAAGATTCAGACGCCAACTTGTCGAAAATTTTAGCAGTTCCACGCAAACTAGCACCCCCATCAGAATTGCGTCACTTTGAAAAACTAATCGAGAATTATTATATTTTATAATTTCTTAGTCAGTATTTATTTATGAAGCTACTGCAATCATATCGGTGATTGGTGAGGAATCTGCTAAATCGTGTCTCACGAACGTATGATCTGTGCTGGGAGACGACGCAGAGCTGTTAACGTCATCTACGGTAATGGACCTGCATGTTAGCCGTCATGATGCTGAATACCATGTATCGAAAATAGCTTTTAATAGATGACTAACACTCACCGAATGAGGTAGCCAATGAGAGCGTATTTTCTTCCCTATCATGCTGATGAATGGGATATTTCAAAGTTGCGGACGGACGAGTGTATCATTGATGCAATTAGGTATCATTGATGCATCATCGGAATACAATAATTGACATTGATAGTGGCGCCGGCAATTTATAATGTCTATACTTTTTATTTTGTTGTGTTTCATAAATCACAGTACAAACGAAGAATTGCGTGGGATAGATTGTAGATAAAAATCGATATTTACAAAGCTAAACGGAACCATTACTTTGCGAGAAATTGATCCACTGCAAAACCTTAATAATATTTCATCAAAAATAAGATGAAGTTTAAGTTCAACATAAGGTTTAAGTAATAACCCTGCCCTTTGGTTCAGTGAGGGTTAGGGCGCGTGCTGCCTGGTTGGTCGAGGTAGATTTCATGTGTGAGTAAGTGATGACACTGGACATTGTTATGTGCAATTCACTTTAAAAGGTGTTTTCATATTTAACTACATGCAGTTCTAAAGAGCCTGAATGAAATGTGGCGCTTGGGAAGATCAATTGAAGATATGGTATAAAAATTAATAAAGATAGCACATTGAAAAATGTGTTAATTGTTTATCAACAAATTTAATGATGTATTGAAATACTTGTTAAATTGAAATGATCCCTCATTTCACATCCGTTGAATCATTCTCAACGACCATCCCGTTTTGATTATAACACAGCATTACTAATAATGTATATATCTATATCTTTTCCGGTACCATGGAGTCAACAAAGTAAAAGTGAAACAAGAGCTATGGAGCACATGCGATACGACAATAGAGTGATACTCGTTAAGAAAGTACCTGGAGACACTGTCTTTTTTCCGCAATGGTGTTATGGTTTTATATGATGCAACTATAAACTCAAGATCATCATACAAAGATAATGGACGTCGAAATATCGTAAAACACATAAGAAATAACATGGGAGACTTTCGGGAGCCTACTAGCGACTAGCAGTGATGCAGAGAAGGACAACGAGTTACTGGAAGGAGATTTTTTACTCTCCCGTTCATGCTTATAGGTGACTTTATCTACCGATTCCCCAATCCATTTTTGCTCCTTCATACGGCGACATATTGAAAAATCTACCACCAATTCTTAATCCTGACTACTTCAAACTATGGGAACAGGATTTTCAGTAATCAAAGGAACACATCTTAGTCCTTGTTACCCCTTTATGCCTTGTTACCGTGAGTGATAAGTTGCCTTTTCACCGTGAAGTGACAGCGGTAATAAGGGCCGATAAGCCCTTGGGTTGCCTGGACCGATGATGATCTTGAAACAAGTAAAAAATAAGCTAGTTAGTCTTCATGTATGTGATTCCTAATCTTCTATTCGTTATTCACTAGTTTGAAGTGGTCAAGACTGGGGGCAAGACAGCTTTCGATCACGAGTAAAATCGGAGTTAATTTTGAGTAACTCTGAGCAACTCACGTTGATCAATATATTATACACATAGCAACCTGAATGTTATATTGAAAACAATGTTGAAACTGATGCTGTCAAGCAAAGTAAGTAGACGTGTTCCAGCTTTGATCGATGAGCCTCGAAGTAAGTATTAATTTAAGAAGGAAACTTATAATTTGTTCGAATTATATTCCAAAAGTGCAGAAGATTAATTTGTCGTTCCACTTACGCAGGAATGCTTTTGGGAAAACGTTGGAAATGTTCTCCCCCATTTTAAAAACATTCTGAAGCTGGAGGGGCTAGCAGCAAACGGTGCGCTAGCAATGCTCACCCGGGAAGACATTTCGGCGAAGGAATTGCAAATGCGCTTTCGTATACCAAGTGTACGAAATGAAATTCGAGCTGCCCCTTCAAAGTCGACGGAAGGTTTTTATGGCGATTATGCCAAACTGCAAGATAAGCTCAACATCGACGAACGCCACCATCGATAACACGTAGCACTGCATTCGCAGCATAGAACAAGAACGACGAAGAACCACCATCGAGGACCTCGGACCTGGACGACTCAGCACAACAGCAGTGGGTTTAATTGGAATTTCTGTGTAGGAACTTATAGTGCGGTTTGATAGGTTCGAATTAAGCTAAAATAATTCAATAAATTCATTCTGTGTGTAACGTTAGAGCAATGTTAGTAGCAATTTATATGTTTTATACACCTAGAAACTCGGTGAAAACTTAATTTATACAAATATATAAATATAATAGAATACATTCCTGTATGTTTTTCAACAACATCAGAATACAATGCCTTCCCATTTTTGGCAACATATGATTTTTGTTTATTATGCAATCTATAAATTCATAGAATGCTCTATTCGATTTATGATGTTACTCGACCATGCTTTAGGAATTAGACGCTGGATATTTAATCAAATATTGTACAGAAAACATGGGCGAAAAGTTTAGGCAATAAACAGATGGTGACGGCACTGTATTTAGTTGTTGGCCATGGCATGATTTTTAATGTTACCAAACCCCACGAAGATGGCCAGAGCTGACCCAATCTGGCCTGAAATGAGCAGCTACATAATAAATATACCACAATCAACAGCGTCTAATTTGTGTGAAACATGGAATCTTGTGGATCATTACAACAAAACCTAACGATTATATAATTCCTGTTGATCGTTTTAAACTCGTGTTGAAAACCAAATATGCTGTCAGACGATATTTTCTTTGATTAGAAAATCGAGACTACTTTGTTA